TCCCAGCTAATCGGGACAGTTGGCAAGTAAGTTGTGCTTTGGCATCACTTGCAATTTAGCCTGGCTATGTTGCCCAGATGTTTAGTTTGAGCTAGCTTCAGTGTATTTTGTTGATTTTTCTTGGCCCCCACACCAGCCCAAAAATACTCTTTGGGTTTGTACATATAAATGACTGAAAGAAGATACAGTTACTTCAGTACAGTTTGAATCCTAAAACCAAAGAGTGAGATAAAAAAGGACCTTATTTCTATCTGTAATTTATTTTAAATGTCTAAATAGGCTAAAATGGTAAAATGGAGGGGGGGGGGGATCACATGCAACAGCTGTATTTGTCTTGTGCCAGGACAAGGCCATCGAGTGCCCAAGATGAAGATGCCAAACTGTGCCGAACCCATCATCCCCCTAGGAACCCCCCCCCCATGTTTTTTGCACATGAGCCACTGTCAAGGAGTAGATAACTAGGGGCAAGTAAGCAAATGGATTGCAGAAGGATGGTGAAGGAAACACAACAAGGCAGTATAAATAAAGCATAGGGCAATTGAACATCTTGAGCAGTGGTTTTCAACTTGGTATTGGTGTCAGTGACTATGGATGAGCTCAGGCGTGTTTGGATCCTAGTCTGAACCCACCTGAGCTATTCTGACAGAAAGCTGTCACTGCACACCCCCAATCCTAAGCAGCCAAGGCATTTTTGCCCTGCAGCTACACATATAAGGAGCGTGTATATATGCGGCTGAGGAGTGGGAAATTACTTGGCTGCTTATGATTGGTGGTGTGCAGTGACAGATTGTTTGCACGATAGCTCAGGTGGGTTCAGACTAGAATATGAACTTTCCTGAACTCATCCCTGTCAGTGACTGCAGTATAAAACCTGCAGCATTAGTGTCAGTAATACTAACCCCCAGCATTGATGTCAGTGACTGCAATAATAATCCCTAGCATTGGTGACAGTGGCCACATTAATGTCAGTGGCAGTACAATTACCCCCCCCCCCCCCATTTCACTGGTTGTTAGTGGCAGTGCTGTTAACCCCCCCTTGCTTTGCTGGTCATTGACAGCTCTATAAACCACCATTCCACCCTGCATGCATGGTCCTTATGTGATCACATGCTCCTGTGCTGCTTTCTTCTCTCTTTCCCCTCCTACCCCTCATTTTGCTGAGACTTCACTTATACTGTTGGGTGGTGTTGGGAGGAATACTAACTACAGGCATGTGGCCCCCCACTTCCACTCTTCCAAAGTGCAGATTCTTATGATAAGGCGCGTAAAATAAAAGTATGAAGTACTGCTTCTAGCAGAGACCCATGAGGCAAAGCATGGAATGGCGAACCATGAAGCACTGCATATAGTAGAAGCAGAGGTATGAAGGCTGCATGTACAAGTGAGCCATGAACCACTGCATGTAGTATAGAGGCATGAGGCACTGTATGCTATAGCTGAACATGAAGCACTGCATGTAATAGGGAAGAATGTCAAGTACCCTTTTTGCTAGAGACACTCGTACCCCCAGACATATGGTCACCATTATAAAGCATTAATGATAATAGTGACTTCCCACCAAAGAAAAAGCTCCACCAATTTGGTATTTCAATTGGGTTTGCTGGTAGATTGCTATATATTTTGTCCTGTAAACTACTCCTCTCCAATACAAGATGATCATGCAATCTTCCAGCAGGGAAATTTCACCAGTGAAATCATGGAAGCTATAAAATGCCAATTTGGGAATCCGTTTATAGACATGACTTTTGGCGGGAATGACACTCTTTAGCACTTACATGAAAATGTAAACGTCCATTATTCCTATATCCCACCTGACCAGTAGCAGTTGTACCCTCACAAACTTTTACCTACTCAACTGAAAAGTAAATTCAAGGTCACTTGCAGTGAGGAATGTAAAAGTCGATTAACAAGAACAAAAATCATTGAAGGAGTAAAAGATAAGCTCACTATGGGACTTTGAGTGGGATTTAGACCGCAACAGCGAGACTTGTGCAAAACTTAGATGTACACATTTGATATGGTTTTCTGTGCAGGTGAGTGCCCCAAAGGAAAACATAGCTCTCTATTTTAAGGTATGGAACTCATGCAGAAAATAATTATGGTGTTGCTACCAGAAACATATTTCAACAGGAAATGTTAGTCACCCTTTTTATGTAGTGAGCAGTGTGCTTAAAGCACATTCAATAACTGGAGGACTCCGCTAAAGATTAACACACTGGTTTAATTGTATCACATTTAAACAAAGGAAATGGGGCACAGGAAAAAACAAAAACTTATCTCAAGTCGGAAATCACTGAAATCTCTATGAACCTATTACTAACTGTGTAGATAAGGACGGCAACTCAAAGACTTTACTGTACATTCACCCAGGTGACCTAGGGCCCTGCTTTTTATAATACATAAACACATCAACACAACTTGCACTTTTAGTAAGATACCGTTACATACAATAGGCCTTTTGTTCCCCATCTGTTTCAACTTTGGTGTCTTTTTTTTTATTGTTGTTATGGGTACATAACGTTAAGTTACAAGATAAAAATATTCACAGTTGTAATCTTAATTATTTTATGGAGACTTTATAAAAGAAAAAATTTGTCTTCATGGGAATACTGAATAACTTTCCACAAAATAAGTGCAATTTAATTTAATTTGTTTCAATCACAATTCCAGTATTTTTTCCTTGGTAAAGTGTGAAAAGTAAGAACTGTGAGATTTTGATTGCTGTCTGTGACCTATTGGAGAATATCCCTCATTTACCATATAGTCACCAGGACAAAAAGGAATGCACTTTTTTAGTAGTATTGAATAGAAATTTAAGACCCTCTGCTTCTGAACACCATGCACCATAAGTCTTAACCGCTGTGCTTCTAAACTTCACACAATATGTGCCACCTCTGTGCTTACAGAACTCTCACCTGCAGACTGATATCATACAGTATAGCATGTGTATGATAATCCACCCAGATTCCACCAATGTTCCGATCTTCCTTACCTCCAGACCACTAGGGACTCTCCATATGTACTTCCCAAGACTCCGGTTTTGAGGAGTAAGGTACCCTTAAGGCTCTTGTTTATTCATGTAGCCATATTTGCCTTGCCCATGTAGGGAAAAGATACCAATACGCCTCTTATGGTGTAGTATGTTAAAGGTGTAAATATTTATTACAAACAAAATGCACTTACACCTTAAATCTTTTAAAATCGCATCTAACATAAAGATCTCGGATTTTACTTCTGTATGCTGTCGCTTCCAGTCCACGCCTGCCTCCGCTCATGCCCTAAGCAGGGATTCCTTGATGAATCCCAGTCACGTGACTTCAAGGTATTCTCTGATGAAGTCATGTGACCATGGCATAATGTGTAGAGTGTGAGTGGAGGCAGACGCAAACCGGAAGTGACGTCATATGGAAGTAAAATCTGAGATCTCTATGTTTGATGTGATTTTAAAAGTTTTTAAGTGTAAGTGCATTTTGTTTTTAATATTTACACCTTTAACATATTACACCATAAGAGGCGTATTGGTATCTTTTCCTCTCTTGGGCAAGGCAAATATGGCTGCATGAATGTACCTTACTCCTCAAAACCGGAGTCTTGGGAAGTACATGTGGAGAGTCCCTAGTGGTCTGGAGGTGAAGGAAGATCGCAACATTGGTGGAATCTTGGTGGATTATCATACACATGCTATATGATATCAGTCTGGAGGGGAGAGTTCTGTGAGCACAGAGGTAACACACATTGTGTGAAGTTTAGAAGCACAGCGGTTAAGATTTATGGTGTTGGATGATCACTATGACAAGAATTCTACTATTTTTACTTTTTTTTAATATTACACATTAAATTGTATGGACTAGCACTACAATATGGAATAATGGACTTTTAATGGTTACGGTACACTGTATTGCATATGTTTACTATTTATCCGAGGTTCATTAGATTTATTCAATACTATTTGTAATGCACATGAAGAGCAGACGGTGCATATACTGTATATTGTTTCACCATTAGTAATTTTATGTTTTCACATATTTAATATAGTCTAACAGCACAGCATCACATATTACATTGTTTGGCACTAGCCTAGATCAAACCTCGATCTAGCAGTTTTTTCCTGTCTTTAAAATTTTTTATTAATATTATTTTTTTTTTTTGCACACTTTTGTTTGTTTACATCTTTCTCTCCGGCAAGGAGAGAAAAATACAATGCCTCTTTCTCTCCATTCAGAAGAGAAAAAAAAACACAGGTGCTTGCTGCACAGTGACTAATCCCTGTGATAGGCCAAAGGCTATCACAGTGATCAGGTGACCAGGACCGGGTTCTGATCGTTAGTGATTAGTGAGAACTCTGATCAGTGAGAACTCTGTTCTGGGAGAGTGCTATGCAGCACATTCCCAGCACAAACACAGAGACACATATACCAGTATATGTGCCCAGGTATAAAGATCACCTCGTGGATGCTGCATATATGTGTTACTCTGTCGTTACGGTTTAAACATCTTTTGTTTTGGTACACCTAGAATGTATTTAGCTTATTTAAACTGAAGGTTGTGAGCAATAGATATAACACATAACCCTTTGGTAAATTTCAAGCCCAGCTCCAGCCAAAGCCTCCTATGTTCTGGATAGAGCTTGGAAGAATTAGAATCTCTATCATGTTTTTATTGCCAATCCTGCTCTAGGGAGGAGATTTACCCTCACTTCCCCATAGAGCAAGAAGTAAAGATCTCTGTAGTATGATGACATTTTATTAATAAACAAATTATTTTCTTCTTGCACTTTAAATGACTGGAAAAACATCCTCTGTACTGCAATTAGCTGAAGCAAAATTATGATGGATTCAACTTCTGTGTCTTATTAAAGAGTTAGGGCTCATGTTCACTGCAGCTGTTCAGCGTTTTTTTCAGCAGCCCCTGAACTCACCCTAATGTTTTCCTATGTGTCCATGTACACATCTTTATTTACAGTCGTTTATAGGCATTTGAGTTTACAGTTGTTTTTTTGAACGCAGAAAACTTGCATCCAGCAGTCGATTTTATCACCATTTCAAATACAACACACTGTAAATGAGGCTAAACACGCCAAATCGAGTTTATATGTATTTGCGTTTGAAATTTTTTTTTTAACTCTTCCAGTTCCCGATGCTGTCCAGAGCCTTTTTTCATCATGAAAAATGTATGCAAAGCGTTTTCAAGGTACTCAAATGGACAAAACACTGAACACAGGATGTTCCTACCAAGCTTGTCACGCATTTAATGACCAATTCAAACCTCAGACCTCTCCCACCCTTGGAAACAAAAGATATGTTAATGACCATTCACACCTCAAATTCCTCATGAAGACCCCCTACCAGGTGGTCTTAATGACTCACTCCACTAGACAGCTTTCCCACCCTTGGAAACAAAAGAAACGTTAATGAGCAACTCACACCTAAGCTAATCTCAACACCTACTGCTCTCTCTGCTTCTACTCTCTGTATTTCTCTGAAACCGTCTAAAATAGTTAATAATTTAACACTTGTCAGTGCATTCTGGACATTTAGGAAGTTCTCCTCTGCTTATCTTTAAAAAATGCTTCTAAACGCAAACGCGCATAAACGCGCTATGCGAACGCAGCTAAACAGACGGTTTTTAACCTACATTTTCCAGCAGTTAGTTTCCATCGTTCAGAAGTATCCTGTGTACATGGGGCCTTAAGCTGCCAGTAGGTGGCACCAAGTCATCAGATGACCATATTGTCTGGATAAACTGGGTCTAAGGAATTATGGCAATGCATAAAGTTGCATTTGAAAGAGAATACAGCTGTTTTAGGCACTGTAGGCCATCCTTCCTTGTGTTGCTCCTTAAGATGACCATAGATGATTCAAATCTCAGCCAGTTCAGCAGGGAATGGCCGAGATTCAAACCATCTGTGGGGCAGGCTGATTGTAAAATCCGACTGATTGAAGTTGATCCATTGAACCATCAGTCGGATTTTTACATGCAATTATTGTGAGCAGTTATATCTGCTAGCAATATTCACTGTGTTCTCCTAGCAGGGACAGCTCCCTGATTCCTCCTACTCCGGGAGAACACAATGGCTCCGTGGCAGGAAAGAAAATCACTCTATTCCCCCATCAAAACAATTAGTTTTGATGGGAGAATAGAGTGATTTTCTTTCCTGCTGCCCATGGAAAGAAAAGAAAATCGCATCATCTATGGCCTGCCTTAATCTGTGAACTTTATTCACAGTTACCCAAGATTACCCAAGTCATTACTGTATTCTAAAAATACATTTTGAACCCCGACGGCACCAGTTGTCCTCTTTTAGTTGTGCACTTAGATTTTGTGTAAACAGAAACCACAGTACTGCTGGCTATATTCCAGGCATATCTGGTTTTCCGTTAACATAAATTTAGTATTAAAGCACAATTGTGATACAAGAAACGTGGACCATTGCAGGCACCTTCTTAAAATAATAGTTATACTGACCCACTGGCATTAGGGTACATTCATACCAGGTGTAGAAATGCTTTGTCTCTGGCGTGGCCAGTTTTGGTGTGGGCTAAAAAAGTACTGTATACAATACTTTTTTTTCCCAGCACAGCACTGTCACTGCATGCTGGCCAATAGAACCTTCTGAAATGTCACGGTTTGATATTTCAATAAAGTTTGCTTAAAAAAGTGAATTGTGCCAGCCATGCAGCGACTGGTGTGAATGGACCCTTAACCCCTTGGTGCCGGTGCCTCCTGGCCCTTTAAGGGGTTTTCTGATGCTGAGAAGTGGAGTGAGGTTTAAGGTGGGGGTTAGGGTCATGTGACCGCCATGGTTGGCTTTACCTGAGGTGCCTGGAGCACACAGGGCTCGTGCTCTCTGTACATTTTTTACATCGGGTACGGGCGCCGAGAGGCCGCATATTTGTGTAGCGCCGGTGCAAAGGAGTTAAAGATTTATGTCACTACATTGGAATAAGTATGCAGATCAGGAAAATCAGATGTTCTTATCTGCATACCTGTCCTAGGCCAGTTTCTTCAAGACAGCCAGATGGCTAATATCTTCAAAAGAAGGCTCTGTAATGAGTTTTCATATTTTGCTCAAGGTTGTCTCTTTAGTCTTTTATGGTTGGTTGCGCATTATATTAAGGCATCCAATTAAAGTAGTTCTAAATTATAACATTTTTTTCTTACCCAAAATAAAAACATGTTATACTTACCTGCTCTGTGCAATGGTACTGGATGGAGAGGCCCCAAACCTGCTCTTCTGGGGTCCCCTCCTGGATTTCTCTGCTCCAATTCTGTGTCTGCCTCCATAGCAAGCCATTCCTAGACACACAGTGCTGCTCAGCCCCGCCACCTGCTCTCTTCCTACAGGATTTGATTGATAGCAGCATGTGCCAGTGGATCCTGCTGCTGCCTCTGTATCTTGTGAATTAAGGGAGAGCCACTACAGTTGGGCACAGTGCTAGATTCAGTGAGGGATTAGGTAAGTATGCGGTTTGGGGAAGGGGGGATACTGCTTCTTGGACATTTCTACCTTAATGCAAGGTATGTATTCTGGTAATAAAAAATGTTAGAACTTTAAAACCACTTTCATTTAGAATTTTTTGCCAATGCATGGCAGCTGATGGAACAGGACCTGCAGCATTTTTTAATGCAGTGCACCATTATGCTGAGCATGTGCTTTGTGGTGCACTGCAATGCACGTCTATTGGCACCTACTAGAGCACTGGAGTACAATCTAAAGGAATGGCACTACAACTCAACTACAACAAAGTGCAGTCTTTTACTGATTGGTTGTGCTGATTACTGCAATGCATAGGTCTAAAAGGGCATTCCAACGTTGGTGTTAGAAATTCTACTACAACTTTGCAAAAAGGATGTTAATTTGGTGGCAGTCTTCCATTACCCAGCTAAAGTCCTCTCCTGCCCTAGCGTGAACCTATTTCATATTTCTTCACATAATGGTCTTTTCATAAAATGTCCTGAATACAATTTCTTTCCCCTCCCTTGTGTAACTAATAAACTATTTCCTGCTCTGGCTGTGACATGTTATTTTTTTCCATTATACCTCTAAACAAAAACTATTTGCTCTGAGAATTCACTCCTGTGTTGATTAGAGCGTGAATACAGCCGGTATATTGTTCCTTACACTAACTGACTGCTCAAACAGACCTGGGAGTGAAATCACCTCTGATTTCAGATCCAACAAGTGATTGATTAATGAATCCACCACTTCACAGGGCACATTCCATCATTTTCTTCATTATACACTATTTTTCTTTTTCAGAACGAGTTTGTGTATAAAGACCATTCCTATCTAAAGACTTTTTTTTTTTTTTTTTTTTTTTTTGCCTTTTTTCGTTTACTGTAGGGTGATTGTCTATACTTGTATGATATTATTTATTTTAATTTATTACAGGACAAGCTCTAGCCAGTAAAAACTAATTACATATTATTCACATTGGATTTTTTATCCAGGCTAGTGATATGGGCTTTCTTCCACCCATAAATATTCCCTTTCATTTTTCAATGAATGGGCTGTATTACCATAGATCAAGACCATGCAATAAATACTATTCTGCTATGGTTTAAACATTGTTGCAATCACTTAAAACTATGTTGATTTGAAGGTAAAAATGTAGCATCTAAAATCACAGTGTTGGAATGCGGGCAATTATTGAGTGTCAGGTGTTTGGTAGACCAGCCCCTGGCTTTCATTAATATCAACACAAAAGTTTTGATGTATGATGGCCTATAGCAGCAAACCAAACAGTGCCTCTCAGCATCACCATATTATTAGCAGAGCTTCAGGCAAGCAACTAAATCCCTAGTAGAAATATCTGACAAAGAATTTGCAATTCTGTTCAGCTACCTATGCTAAAAGAAGTATAGTATGTGGGCTGTCATTTTTTAAGTCCTTGTGAAAATTCTAGTTATCTGCCAGTCATGCTAATCTTCTGCTGTAGAACCCATCTCTTGGCAGATATGAAAGAATGTATACAGTAGCATAAAAACTATAAAATTAGTGACATTATGCACTTAGCCTAAATTACTGTACTGGCTGCATCAGCTTAGTAAATTTGTGGCCAGCTTTAAAGCGGAACTACACTGCATCTGAACACCGCAAACCAAAAATGCTATTTAATCGATTTTTAGTATTCTAAGCTGACTCACTCATCCATCCCTGTCTCCATGCTTTATTTTGCTGAGAAATCACTTTTAAAAGCATCTTTGGCTGTGGCCATCTTGTGTATGGGCAGATAAATCATGTAGCATTTGGAATCCATCTTCCCTTAGCTCAGGCATACAGGCAAGAGGGGGTGCTTAGCTTAGAAATCCCTCCTCCTCCCCTGAAGACTGCTAGGGTGTACAACATCATTTGTCTAGATCTACTTTCTTACCTATTTACTAATTTTAGCGACAGGTATAGTTTCTGTGGCTGGTCAGACACTGTCTTCTTTTTGTATGCCCAATTTGGTTTCAATGACAGTTGCGTTGAAACTCTGTGGTGGTTTGCCTGATGCAGTTGAGTATGTGGGGGGTGGTGGGGGGGGGGGGGGGGGGGAGAGGGGAGCAGGGGGATGGCATTTACCTGCATTGGCATCTTTATCTGTTCTGTTATTCTTTCCTCCATTCTACGTTACTATTCAACACATATTATATGTAATCTACCCCTAAATATAAAAAGCATCTGTCATCACACTGATGTATTTCTACTTAAGTTTGAAAAACAGCTTTGGGCAATAAGGAGTTTGGAGCATCGCTACAGAAACAAAATAGGGAGTTAAATACAATTCTTTACTTCATGTTTCTTCTTGCAATAAAGCATTCATACAATACTAAGCCAAATGCATAGCTAATGTCAGGTGACATCAACATTGAAAGCTCTCAATAAAGTCTTTCCTTGCCTTGACTCCAAGGACAGCCTCAGCCCCTCTGACACACACTTGGTTGAATGAAAGTTACTTAGATACCTTTAACTTGGTTTCAAATTAACATCACTAAATACCCACATGACCGTTTAGTGGTAAATGAATGCAATGTATTGGTACAAAAACTGTATATAAAGTGAGCGCTAAGAGAAAAAATCTGGGAGCAGCTAGCACAAATGGTGAACCCACTCCATATCACAATAAAACATAAAAGTGCTGGTCTATACAAAATAATAATAAGTGTATATATCTGAAAAATAAAAAAAAATCAACCCATAGATGAAATGTGATACAGTAGCCCGTGAATGTTGCTACATATCAAAATGATAAATGTACAAAAAATATTATATTATGAAACGTGCACCCTGGTCAAAGCCAGACCAACCGCAGAAACAGGCCAGGGTCATAAAAGATGATCGATTGATTCTC